TCAGATCAAGGTGGGTGGATGGGGGGCTGCATAGACTGGGTGGGCGCCGGTCAGATCAAGGTGGGTGGATGGGGGGCTGCATAGGCTGGGTGGGCACCAGGGGGTCCTGGGGGGATCAAGGTGGCAGGGCCAGGAGTCCTGGGCAGATCACCTAGGTGGGCAGCGCCAGGGGGCCCTGGGTGGAACAGGTGGGTGGGGCCAGGGGGCCCTGGGCTGAATGTTAAGGTGGGTGGAGTGTGGGCCTTGTGGCACCAGGGTCGCGCTCTGGGTAAGGATGGCAGATGCTGTCACCGCAGGGAGTGAACCTGGACGCCAGGTGACCTGTGCCAACGCACTGCAGAGCGGCCACTGAGAGCCCGGCGTGGTGACCAGGCCATCTGAAGAGAGGTCCTGGTGGTGGGACGGCGCTGGCGCCAGCAGGGCAGCTCTTCCTGGGTGTGCGGCCGTCCGCGGTCCAGCCCACGTCGCTGGCCCCATGGGGCCGTGTCTATGTGCACAGCAGCTCTAGCCACTGTGGGTTCTATGAGGTTCCTGGCCGCAAAGAGCAGAACCTTGGATCTGAACTGGAGGCCTGGTCGTGTGATACTGACAGGCAGACACAGGGCTCCTCGTGCCACCACACCACCGGCCACGTGTCCGCCTGCGGTCAGCAGAGGAGCCCCTTGGGGACCTGAAGGGGGAGACGGTTCTCTGCGGCGGAGGAAAGGCGGGTCTGCCGCAGTAGAACCCTGGGGCTGCGGAGGGATGTGCGCTGGGCGGGGCAGAGGTGTGTCCAGGGTCAGCCAAGGTCTTTAACGTCCTCAGCGGCCTGAGGTAGTTCCTCATCATGGAGGACCTGACTCCCCATCGATGGAGACATGCGTGTGTGCTGGCCACACACTCCGTGGAGTGGGGTCTCAGTGCTCCTGCTGTCGAGCACAGGGTCACGTGCACGCTGCCCTGTGGGTGTGTCCGTGGCTCCTGCCACTCTGTCAGCAGGACCAATGAGTTCCTAGAGAAACCGGTTGGTAATGCTGCTGTTTTCCGTGACTCTAGGTTTACGGTGATAAAGATGCGGATGGGTTCTACCGCGGGGAGACCTGTGCTCGCCTCGGCCTCATTCCCTGTAACATGGTTTCTGAGATCCAAGCGGAGGATGAGGAGATGATGGGCCAGCTTCTCAGACAGGGCTTCCTTCCTCTCAACACAGCGGTGGAGAAGATAGGTGAGCGCCCACCAGAGCCGACACTGGCTCCTGGCTGCGCCGGCCTGGGCTCAGCTCGCAGCACAAGGTCCCTGCTGCCCAGCAGCAGGCCCTGGGGGTCCCATCTGTGCTGTCTGGTTGGGCCAAAGCCTCTTGAAAATCAGGTGTGCACTTCGCTCTGGCTAAGCCCACTCTACAAACCAGGGCTTCCGATTCCCAAGTGACCCCTGGACACATGTGCACCTAAAAACTTTCTAAAACATAGATGTTTTTCAGCATTTTTCTGTGTGCTTTGGGTGAAGGTTTACAGAGCAAACCTGTTTTCGGCACTTCACACACCGACTGGTGACACCGATGGCAATCTCCTCAGCGTAACAGTAGCCTTCCCACCGCCTCCTCGTTCCCATTCGCCCTTCTTTGCTACCCTTTCCTGCCTTCCGTGCTCACCCTTGAGCACATGCTGCCCTTTGGCTCTTGTGTGCTCCATTGTTGCAAGGAGTGCCCCCTTTCTGGCGTTACTGTCTAGCTTACAGCGCTGTCATTTCACTGCAAGTTGAGCCACACAGGTGAGTTCACGTGCAGGCCTGAAGGGTGTCTAAGGGCCAGAGCTCAGGGGTTCCACGGGTCCCTATGAGACCACTAAGCCTGGTCTGTTTGATGATTTTGAGTTTTGTTACATATTTTTCTCACTCTATCCAGGACCTTCTGATCTGATCCCCTTCAGAGTACTCAGTGGTACTAGCCAGGCACCACCTAGGGTCTTGGAGGCTGGGTACGGTCCTCAAATCCCTTGGACTGTTTCCACGAGTCTTTTTCTTTGCTCACCTTTGCTCTGGACGGAGAGACAGACAGTCTCCTCAGGGGAGGTGATACAGAGCCTTCCCTTGCTAAGTCTGTCACGTCAACAGAAGGACTCACTTCTTCATGATAATGTGTTCTGCACGTTATCCCGATAATAATAATTTTAAAAGGATGAATTTTGCTTTGCTTACCCTCAAAGGTGTAAAAGCTCATCACCCATTCATTTAAATAGACGCAAAACCTCATCATCTGGGAAGTGCATGTCAGTGAGCAAAGGGCAGTGTGACGTTCAGCGAGTTGAGCAACGTCCCCATGACGTCTTTAGCCTTTCCTGTGGGTGAGGAAAAGCTATCCATTAAGGTCTGCTTTCTCTAAGGAGCTGTAGAGAGGTACCAGTTTCATGTTGTTCATGTTTAAAGTTTTGATATTTTGAAACATTAACTTTTTTCCCTTTTTTATGGTGGTGGAAATATACCCCACCATTCACCAATGTCCCTGTGTACAATTCAGTGACGCTGATTACCTTTTTATCTTGTGTTGCTGTTATCCCTGTCCTTTTCCAAAACATCCCAAGCTCAGTACCCTCAGACAAAGCCTCGCCCTTCCCGCCAACCCTGGTAACCATAATCATCTTTGGTCTTAGTTCATATGAGATCACACAGAAATTGTCCTTTCAGGACTTTCACTCAGCATGATGTTTTCAAGGTTCGTCAAAACTTCACTCTCTTTAGGGCTGTGTATAACTCCACTGTATGTACTTATTACATGTTGTTTATCCACTCATCTGCCAATATTTCAGATGAACACCGATGTACACATTTCTGTTGTCATTCCTGCTGTCACTTCTGGATACACACCTAGGATTGGGCTTGCTCCATTCTGTATTCCACTGTTTGAGGAACCATCAAATGTTTTTCTGCAGTGGTTGTACCATTTTACATTTCCACTAGTAATGGTTGAGGGTTCCCATTTCTCCACAACCTCGCCAGCACTTCCTGTTTTCCATCTGTTTGGTCGTTGCCATTCTAGTGGGGGGTGAGGTGATTTCTCATTGTGGTTTGGATTTGTACCTCTCTAATGGCTCCTGATAATGAGCATTTTTGTGTGCTTATTGGCCATTTGCATATCCTCTCAAAAAAAACTCTTATTTATATTTCTGTTAACTTGTTTTAGTCTATGTATTTTGGATATTAGGCCCTTATCTGATATATATGGTTCATGAAAATTTGCACCCAGTCTGTAGGTTGTCTTTTCAGTTTATTGATGAAACCCTTTGATGTACAAAGTAATTATAAAGTCTCATCTGTCTCTCACTGCTCAGGCTTTTATATAATCTATCATGAACCAGTACATCCCACAGCCTGGCTCCTACGCATTCTTCTAAGAATTTGATTGTCTGTTTTCATATGGAGGTCCTAACCATTTTGAATTTGTGTGTATGGTGTGAGGCATGGATCCCGATTTATTCTTCATGTGGAAACCCAATTTCCCAGCAACATTTATTATAATGATTCATCATTCTCTATTGAATGGACTTAGCACCCTTGTTGAAAATTGGTTGACCCCAGATGTATGGATTTCTCTCTTTCAATTCTATTCCATTGGTTTGTAAGTCTACTATTACACCAATGCCAGGTTGTTTTAATTACTATACCTTTGTAATGTATTTTGAAGCCAGGAAGTCTCAATCCTCCTGCAAAATTGCTTTATCTGTTTGGGGCCTCTCACCATTGCACATAAATTTGAGGACTGGCTTTTCCATTTCTCCAAAGGTACTTGAATTTTTTATGTGGAATGCACCGAATTTACAGATTGCTTTGGGTAGCATTGACATCCTAAAAATATTAAGCCTTCCAGTCCATAAATACAAAATGTCATTTTCATTTATTGTGGTCATCTTTCAGTCATGTTTTATAATTTTGTGTACGCCCTTCACTTTCCTGGTTAAGTTTATTCCTAGGTACTTTACTGTTTAGAACAGCATCTAAAAGAATGTTTCCTTTACTGCCTTTTCAGCTTGCTCACTGCCAACATATAGAAACTTTTTTTTTTTAAATGTGATTTGGGTGAAAGTTCACAGAGCAAATTCATTTTCCATACAGCAGTTCATACACAGTTTGTTTCATGACATTGACTGCAATTCCCCACAATGTAACAGCTCTCTTCTGACTTCCTCCCTGTAGTTACCTTCCCTGTGTCCTCCTTTCCTATGCATTCCTGTCCCCTGAGCTATCTCCTTGTGTGACCACTTGCTCTTCTGTTCTCCCATGACCGATTATTCTAAGGAGTGTATCTACCACCCTATATGCCTGTCTCTTGTTTGGCCAGAAGCCATAGGAGTTAACTCCAGACCTGAAGGATAACTACCGGCCGTAGTCTCAGGGGTCTCACCAGGCTCTATCAAGACCAGTAAACTTTTTTTTTTTTTTTTTTTT